ATATAATTAATATACGATTAAAATCGTAACAATACTAATTAAGAATTAAACATCTACTAGCAAATCTATATAATGTAAATATTAACCGTATTACAATATATATATATATATATATATATATATATATATATATATATATATATATATATATATATATATATGTATAATTTGTTATACCTAAATGGGACACTTGCGTGTATCGTGGGCCAAAAACCTTAGTCACACAAAGTCTAACCCACTTAACTGACGTGACAATTACAACCCCCCCCCCCCCCCGATCTCCTCATCCGTCAAGAAGTGTGACGTTGTTTCTAGAAGTGCCATAATGTTTTAAAGGTGAAAATCTTTATTAAAATAGGTTTAAAATTAATTAACATACTTTAGCAATGTTTTCACATTACGCTGTCGTAAACAACTAAACTATATCTGCCCAAACACATAAACATTACGAGAATTCGTTTTTAAAATAGGCCTGTTTCATAATTTTGGTGTACGAACATCTTTTAAACAAATTCCCCTTTTGAAAAAGATTAAAACAAGGTCGTAATAACTTGAAAGTAATTATCTAGCCTTAATTTTTCAATCAAGCGGTAGTAATTAATTACTGAGGGATCATCCTTTAACGATTTCCCTACAAAAATCGCCTAATGGTGAGTTAAGAAATAAGGCAACATATAGAAATATTACCTTTAACCCCTAACAGAGGCGTAACGACTCATCCCGGTGCCCGGGGATAAACTTTCAATTTGGCGCTCCCCCCCCCCCCATATATTTTTAATATTTATAATACAAAATTTCTGCTAAAATGAGCATATTTTGGAGCCCCTCGGTCTGCGCCCGGGGACATATGTACTCCCCCCCCCCCCTCCGTCGCTACGCCTCTGACCTCAAAATATAGGTTTACTTGAGAAAAACGAATCGAAAAACTCAAGGGGCGGTATAACTTTATAAAGGCTTTCAGTTTAAAGTTGGCTGAACTCCCTTGTCGAGTAGGTGATCAAGTCCGCACGATATACGCTAGTTAAGTCTAGTCACACAACCATAACTCATGGTGATATTTAAACTCTATTAAAAAAAAAAAAAAAAAACATTATCTAACTAGTTAATATGTTAAAATATAACTATCGAGATTAGAGGTTTATTTAGCCACCAGCTATCGCACGAGCTAAAGTTTGCATTAAAATACATTTATTTTAGATTATGTTCGGTTAAACGTCACCTAAATGTTAACATCTGATGTTTTGTAACTTTCGCTTAATTTTTATCACTACGCTCCACTTCGCTGGTCTTGAAGATTTTTCGGGACGCTTTCCTCACTTTTCCACGCAGGCGTTAAAATAATAATCCTGTCTAAGGGGTTTTGTTTTTCCCGTCACATTTAGTGATAATGTGTAGAGTTAAGAACGTGACGCGGAAGTAAGGATGTGAACCAGTTATCTCTTTATATGTTAGTTATTATGTATTTAAAATATTTGTTATGTTAATTACTTTTAGATACGACAGATTTGACATGCGATCAATTTTACGTAACAAATTAAATTCGTCTCTTAAGGTATATATATATATATATATATATATATATATATATATATATATATATATATATATATATATATATATATACTAGCCGTCCCGGCCAGGCATTGCTCTGGCTTCTGTGAAAAACCTTTCTGTTAAAGACCATTACCTGTGTGTTTAGTAATCATCATAAACCCGGCATTGCCCACCCAAACCACAACCAACCAAAACAACAAAACGCAAACATAACGCTAACAAAATTACAAATACAAACGAAAACAAAAACCTAACAACAAACCCAACCACAACCACAAACACCAATACGAACACAAAGAAAAAAACAAACGAAAAAGCAAACGAAAACAAACCAAATCCAAACGCAAAACCAACCACAAACACAAATACAAACACAAACCCAAAGAAAAAAACACAAACGAAAAAAGAAAGAACAAAAACGAACCAAATCAAAACGCAACCACTAACGCAAACCCAACCTAAACACGAAGAAAACACAAACGCGAACATAAACGCGAAGTGCTCACAGTCTAGCTCGAGGCAGAATCGCCTGTTTCAGCTTAATAAACGACTATAGTACCCCAACTTATTCATAGTCTTTTGCACTCACTAAAACGAACGTAGGAGCCAAACCAAACAAAATGAACAATTATAATACTCCAAGCTTATCCGTAAAATACCTACAACATTTGCACTTGATCAATCCCCGCTAATTATGTAATTATTTTTTTCCCAACACCAAAACAAAGTAATAAAAATAATTTTTTTCCACTAATGCAATGTTTTATAAAGGGAAGTAATTGTGTTTTCCTAATTTATCAAAGGGAAGTAAGTGCCATAGGACTAAATATAAATAATTTTCAGACATAATTAGAATAGAATTTTTGTTATTTTTTAAAAATTGTGTTTAATGAACATGCCGACAATTATTACTATCAGTTTGAAAAATGAAAATTATTTCCCAACACTTTCAATAGTAATGTTTTAACTCATAAATTTAGACTATGAGCACGATAATAGTCTAACACTTAAATCCATCGAAGTATGTCAACAACAAACAAACAAACTTATTTTTACATACAGAATTGAGTTTTATATATTACTAGCCGTCCCGGCCAGGCCCTGCTCTGGCTTCAGTGAAAAACCTTTCTGTTGAAGACCATTACCTGTGTGTTTAGTAATCATCATAAACCCGGCATTGCCCACCAAAACCACAACCAACCAAAACAACAAAACGCAAACATAACGCTAACACAATTACAAATACAAACGAAAACAAAAACCTAACAACAAACCCAACCACAAACACCAATACCAACAAAAAAAAAAAAACAACGAAAAAGCAAACGAAAACAAACCAAATCCAAACGCAAGACCAACCAAAAACACAAATACAAACCCAAACAAAAAAACACAAACAAAAACGAAAAAAGAAAGAACAAAAACGAACCAAATCAAAACGCAACCACTAACGCAAACCCACCTAAACACAAAGAAAACACTAACGCGAACATAAACGCCCGGGGCGGAATCACCTGTTTTAGGATAATGAACGACTATAGTACCCCAACTTATTCATAGTCTTTTACACTCACTTAAACGAACGCGCCTGTTTCAATTTGATGAACAATTATAATACTCCAAGCTTATCCGTAAAATACCTACAACATTTGCACTTGATCAATACCCGCTAATTATGTAATTATTTTTTTTCCCAACACCAAAACAAAGTAATTAAAAAGTAAATTATTTTCCACAAAATGCAATGGTTTTATAAAGGGAAGTAATTGTGTTTTCCTAATTTATCAAAGGGAAGTAAGTGCTATAGGACTAAATAAAGACATAATTAGAATTTTTGTAAAAGATGATATTTTTTTAAAACTTGTGTTTAATGAACATGCCGACAATTATTACTATAATTTGAAAAATGAAAATTATTTCCCAACACTTTCAATAGTAATTTTTTAACTCATAAATTTAGACAAATGCGCACGATAATTGTCTAACACTTAAATCCATCCAAGACCAACGACAAACATATGCGTTACATACAGAACTGAGCTTTATATATTAGACTAGCCGTCCCGGCCAGGCCCTGCTCTGGCTTCTGTGAAAAACCTTCCTGTTAAAGACCATTACCTGTGTGTTTAGTAATCATCATAAACCCGGCATTGCCCACCCAAACCACAACCAACCAAAACCAAAACAACAAAACGCAAACATAACGCTAACACAATTACAAATACAAACGAAAACAAAAACCTAACAACAAACCCAACCACAACCACAAACACCAATACAAACACAAAGAAAAAACAAACAAAAAAGCAAACGAAAACAAAAACCTAACAACAAACCCAACCACAAACACCAATACCAACACAAAAAAAAACAACGAAAAAGCAAACGAAAACAAACCAAATTCAAACGCAAAACCAACCAAAAACACAAGTACAAACCCACAAAAAAAAAAACACAAACAAAAACGAAAAAAGAAAGAACAAAAACGAACCAAATCAAAACGCAACCACTAACGCAAACCCACCTAAACACAAAGAAAACACTAACGCGAACATAAACGCCCGGGGCGGAATCACCTGTTTTAGCTTAATGAACGACTATAGTACCCCAACTTATTCATAGTCTTTTGCACTCACTTAAACGAACGCGCCTGTTTCAATTTGATGAACAATTTTAATACTCCAAGCTTATCCGTAAAATACCTACAACATTTGCACTTGATCCATCCCCGCTAATTATGTAATTATTTTTTTTTCCCAACACCAAAACAAAGTAATTAAAAAGTAAATTATTTTCGACTAATGCAATGGTTTTATAAAGGGAAGTAATTTTGTTTTCCTAATTTATCAAAGGGAAGTAAGTGCTATAGGACTAAATAAAGACATAATTAGAATTTTTGTAAAAGATGATATTTTTTTTAAACTTGTGTTTAATGAACATGCCGACAATTATTACTGTAATTTGAAAAATGAAAATGATTTCCCAACACTTTCAATGGTAATTTTTTAGCTCATAAATTTAGACAAATGCGCACGATAATTTTCTAACACTTAAATTCGTACAATTCCAACGACATACAAATGCATTACATACAGAACTGAGCTTTATATATTAGATATATATATATTTATATATATATATATATATATATATATATATATATATATATATATATATATATATATATATATATATATATACATATATATTCTGTTTGTTTACAAAGTGTGTAGAATTTGGCAAATGTGAAAACACTATAATTAACGGATGTTTTAAGATGTTAATTATCGGAGAAAGTTTGTACTATTATGCTTTGATGTAAGGTAACTTTTCGGTTGTTTTTTTTTTTTTTTTTTTTGTTCTTTTTTTTTGGACGTTAATACTTTTCAAATTCGATTTAAATTCAAAACCTTTTATGTAGTGAAAAACATTTCTCATGAATACACCTTTCTTTGTTAAAACAATTAAAATGTGTATCATACTATACTAATTAGCTTAAGTGATATTTAAGTATATAAAATAGACATGTAAGAGCAGAATTTTGTAAAATAATTTTCGTATTAGTACATTACGTTTACACTGAATTCGCTCATAACTCTACACCTGAATTAGCTCCTTTATCTTCTGAATTAAAAGAACTCTGTTGGTTTTATTTATCTGCCAGTAAATATAGACCTAGGTCGGAAGAGGTTCCATTCATCCCCAACAGACCACGTCCTGTCAAAGATACCTGAATGAGGTCACCTGGCTCAAGATGGAACAACCCACCTGCAGAATAGAAGCGTAGCAATGCTTATGTCTGCTTTGATTACAGGAAAAGTTTAAGCATTTTAAAACAGGAGTCGATAATTAGATACATCAAATTTTGCGTAACGATAATAACACTATTAGCGGTGGCGTTGGGAAGAGGTAAGGCTTCGTTATCTATATCAATAAATAAATAAATAAATAAATAAATAAATAAATAAATAAATAAATATATATATATATATATATATATATATATATATATATATATATATATATATATATATATATGTCAATATATGTCAATATATGTCAATATATGTCAATATATGTCAATATATGTCAATATATGTCAATATGTGTCAATATATGTCAATATATATCAATATATGTCAATATATGTCAATATATGTCAAGATATGTCAAGATATGTCAAGATATGTCAAGATATGTCAAGATATGTCAATATATGTCAATATATGTCAATATATGTCAATATAAGTCAATATATGTCAATATAAGTCAATATATGTCAATATATGTCAATATATGTCAATATATGTCAATATATGTCAATATATGTCAATACATGTGAATATATGTGAATATATGTCAATATATGTTAATATATGTCAATATATGTCAATATATGTCAATATATGTCAATATATGTCAATATATGTCTGCTCAGGGTAGCCTGCCTGGCTGGCTGATTTTGTCTTTTACAGAAATCCTAACACCCGAACGGTGCATAATAAGCCTGGTGTTTGTGCGAACTTTCTGGGTAATTTGTTTTCTTCTTCTTCTTCTTTCTCAATTTTTAGTGCTAGAAGGGATCGAGCCAGTGTTTCTTCCAGACTTTTTTCTCCGGGGGGGCACTTGAAATTTTCGGGGGGGGCGGTAGACTTTCTTCGGGGGGGGGGGGGGGCGGACACTGTTAAAAGTATATATTTTCTATATAAATTGTATAAATTTCATTTCGTTCGGGGGTGCGGTAAAAAATTTTCGGGGGGGCTAAGCCCCCCCCCCCCCCGAAGAGATGCCTGGAAGAAACTCTGGATCGAGCTTTATCTGCCTTTATAAAGGGGCGCCAAACTGAAAGTTCCGCGAGGGCTCGTTACGCCTCTGAGTATTTCTCGTGTTTTTTCTGGGTTTTTTCTTCTCTAACCCACCCGCCCACTCCCCCCAAACGAAATATGAAAACTACAATTTATATTGATAACATCAACTTGAAACCGTGTGTCCCCCGGCACCGGCAATGTTAAGCCTTCACCATGTCAACGTGTGTGTTAAAAAAAAAAGATATTCCGCGAAGCCTATCCATTTATGCCCCTTCTCAAAGCGTCAGTCATGTTGATCGCTGATTATTTTCAACAGCGGATATGCTTAGTGTGTTGACGAACACGTGTGACTATTAAAAATAGGCCCTAGTATTCATTCAGCCGCATTGAGACTGAGGGGGGGGGGGAGGGAAGGGAAAAGGAAGGCAATAGGGGGATTTTCATGAAAAACCAATTTCAAGATGTATCCTGTCTAAACTTATAAATTAGGAGGGGTGGGGGGGGGGGGGGTGGGTTGTTTACAAAAAATAAAGGTGGTTCAGTGGTTCCAAAAATGTTTTTGTAATTAAGTCGAAGGTAGAATCTTTTTAGACGGCAAACAACGTTAACGTATTTTTTAAACACGGCTACGGAGTTAACGTTTTTAAGCTGACCACATCTTGCTTGTGACATGTCAAAGAACAGTGTTTCTTTCAGATATTTCTCTCCTCGGATGGGGCAGGGTTGCTATTAATATTTCCTGTGGAAGGGAGCGAAGGAGGGGGGGGGGACCAAGTAAAGTATTCAGTGTAAATTATATATTTACATATAACCGCAATAAATGTACAGTTCTCTCTCTCTCTCTCTCCCCCCCCCCCCCTCCCACTTGAACAGATGCCTAAAAGAAACTCTGTTATAGAACAAAGTCAAACTAGATTCTAAAATCAGACTAATTCTGTGGTGTGTTGGAACATTCACAGATACTTCTAAGTTCTGTAATACACAACCGTGAATGGGGTGGGGGGGGGAGGTAGTTCGAAGTCGTGCAGTACTGGGACTCCCCTTCACACCCACCCTCTCAATTCCCTCCCACTCCTGCTACAGTCTGCTACACGAACAGCAGCGAGGTCAAACGATTTTATAAGAAAATGTTATGTAACTTGTCAGAGCGTGTCGTTTGATCTAGATGTTTTCGGCCTACCTGGGTTTTTTTTCTTTTCTAGAAACGTTTTTTATATTAAGACAATAACAAGAAACAAAGAAAAAGCAAATTCCATTGAGCGAGAATGATTAACCACGAATTTTTTTTTTAAAATGTCGCAAGTTGAGTCTCGCTTAGATTGTTGTCTTTTTCGTGTTCTTCAGTGTACAATTTTAATATAATAACAGTATAAAAAACATGTCATATTCTTTAATTTTGATTAGGTTGCCATGCTTTATTAAAATTGTATCGCCCATGATTAGTATTGGTAATACTAAAAGATATTGGTATGTAGACATTGGTATCTATATTTCAAACGGCATTGCGAATGTTTTAGTCATAATAATAACAAAACAAATGTATTTTACTGGGCGTGGTAGCAATTTTTAGCGTGTAGGCTTCATTCATTCATCATTTTGAATAACTTGTATTACGGGTGAAAAGCTCCATCGTTCACACCGACTCATTCAATGGAATGAATAAATGCAAATACACGAGGGGCCAAAGGGGGATATTATCTGTATATATATATATATATATATATATATATATATATATATATATATATATATATATATATATATATATATATATATATATATATATATAGAGAGAGAGAGAGAGAGAGAGAGAGAGAGAGAGAGAGATAGGCATATATATAGGCATATTTATATACATATATAAATGAAAGTGTGTGGTTTGTTTGTTTGTGGGTTTGTACTTTATGCATTACTACACCTTTCATCCGATTACCATTAAAGTTAAGGAAGTTGTTGAGAATACTCATGAGCAGGTAATTGCGGAGAAAAAAAAGTTTAATTTCTTAGGGGCAGTGCCCCAGCAGGGTGCAGTTTGGCGCTTCAGGATTTCCCGTGAACGCTATGGCGCCTACGTTCGTTTTAAAAAGTGCGATAAACGGAGGATAAGATGGGGTATTATAGTCGCTGGCTAAATTGAATCAGGCGCCCCGGTAGAGTGCGATTGGGCAACCTGTGGTATCTTGTGATCACTACAGGGCCAACGTTTGTTTTACAGTGTACCCTATAATATTGACAAGGTGGCACAAGAGGTTCGATGATCAAATCGAGCCAGGAGCTGTTCGCGACACCTTTGCGGTAGTGTAACCGGGAGCGTCTCGCTAAGTGGCGTAGCCAGGATCGTCTCAAGGTGGGGGGTTCCAATTTTTACCCGGGGACAAACTTTCGATTTGCACCCCCACCCTCATACTTTCAATTTGCACCCCCCCCCCCCCTTCCTCAAACTTTCGATTTGCACCCCCGCTCATACTTTTTATATATATACCGAGGGGTCTATGGGGGGGTTATGACCCCCCCCCCCCCTGCCTACGCCACCTGTCTCGCTACTTCCCTAACGGGCACGCTAGCTAGGTTATAAATTTTCAATGCCCTCACAACAGAATTGAAGGAGGTGGCCCGGAAATGGGGAGGCGTGCGTGGGAGGAAGAAACCAAAAGGTCTAGAAACGTAGGTCGGTTTTTTTTTTTAAGAAAATCCAAACAACAATAAATACCGAGACGTAGTACAGGGAATACATTTCAAAGTTGTAGAAATTTTAGGAAAATAAAACAAGTGACATAAATGATCAGAGGGATACGTATATGTATCTGGATGTATGCGAAATATAATGCAACCTCCAATTAAAAATCTAAATGAACGTTATGCTTATCTATGACTACGTTTACATCAATATTATCTACATCAACATGATCAAAATCATGCACATCGTGCACAGAATTTATATCATCTATATAGATTAAGTCAACATCTACGACAACATACATGTACAGCACACAGTGGAGTAGCCAGGAATTGGTCATGGGTGTGGTTCAAAAATGTTTCCATACGTATATAATCATATATATATATGACTATATATATGACTTTATATATATATATATATATATATATATATATATATATATATATATATATATATATATATATATATATATATATGACTATAAATATAAGGGTCGGGGTCCATGGGAGGGGTTATAATCCCCTTAACCCCCCACCCCCTTGCCTACGCCACTGTACGCACAAGAACACGCATGAACACAGCCACACTCACTTGTACACGTAAACGTACACAAATGTTCATTTAAAGACTGCCTCTTTCACACCAAGTAGCTAAAGACTGCTTAAATACAAACTCACCACTATATGAAGTGCTCTCGACACCAGTGCAGTTTGAACACGACGTATACACACTCCTGAGCAACACCCCGCTCTTCATCGGGTTGTTGTTGTGCTCACGATGCACGTAGTGAAACCAGGTCTGCATTAATTGAACAATAGGGCTGGTAAGTAGGTCAATAAACAGTTCTATAACTCATGCAAGTTTTATTTAGCCGTAGAACTGGTTGGTGACCTACTTACCAGCCCTATTAAAAAGCAATATAAATACTTTTATGTAAAATGCAAGATCGTTTTTAGCACTAAAATGTGTAAAATATCGAGAGAAAAATCAGCGTATATGAGATCTAGGCTCCAGTACTTTAAAAACAATATGATTATTACTACCTGATAGGTAAACTCGGATGTAGATTTTTTGGAACAAGGTTTAAAATTCAAATTAGAATACACGAAGTAGATACCTAGGGAAGGAATTTTTTAGATGCTTAAATTTTTTTGTCAATTCATAAAAGACATGGAATTCTATGATATTCTAAAAATGTCAGGATTATTTTATTTTGACTGCGATAAAAAGTAAATAGTTAATTTGAAATCTTTAGATGCAAGTTTATATGTTATTGTATAAATAAATACGATTCTATTTTAAATTCCCGAGTTCTACTAATAAATCTGAAACAAAACACATGTTGTTTTTTTTTTTTTGGTTAACAAACCTAAAACCACTAATAAGCCATCATTGGTTACTATCGAACCTGACGGCCCATAGGACATGTAAAGTAGAGTTCACCTGTTTCTGTGACCTCAGCATTTGAAGAAATAGTGTGGTCAGCACTATACCCAGCAACATTTTCTTTCCCTTGCGTGACTCAAGTTCTAATCCGAGATGAATGTTCTCAGGAACGATAAAAAATGTGAGCGCAGATTCAAACTCGAGACATTTGGGTTAGCAGTCGAACGCTCTACCATTCGACCATACCGTCTATGGCTATGGTAGACTACAAAAAACAAAAAAGTGGTAATCTACGCTAAGGTGTAAATCATTAACAAATATCACTCATTGCCCTAGGCCCACTGTTTAGTTGCCATTCGCGGGAAGAGGAACACTAGGTAATATCTATATATATATATATATATATGTATATATATATATATATATATATATATATATATATATATATATATATATATATATATATATATATATATATATATATAGTTATATATAGTTATAGATATAGATATACATATATATACATATATATACATATATATATAGATATATAGATATATAGATATATATAGATATATAGATATCTTTATATAATGTATAGGCGTACTGTCTTATTAGAAATTAGAGTGTGATTTTACAAAAATCTCTGTTTGAAAACAAAAAAGTATATAGATGCCAGGGTCCCACCTGAACGTTGGATGATAAGACCGTCTTCTGTGAACTTTACTCCTCTTACATGATTTCTGTTACTATCAGCTTGAGTGAGTTTCAGAACGTTCCGAACATCTTGCTTGAAGATGGGATCTGGATGAAAATAGTATCAAAGTGCCGGATATATCTTAGCGAGTTAAAGTTTTTCTACGCTTTCCCACACCCAGACATTCAACAATAATGTTTACCAGGTTTAAAAAAAAAAACAATAATTCGGATTTAAGCTCTCTGAAAGAAGTTCTGCTCTGATGTAGCAGATATTGAATTCGACTGTGTATAGTACCGTTCAGATTATTCCATCAGATGCCGTAATCAAAGATAAACAGATAAAATCTATTTCATCTTTATGATGTGATGTACCATGAAAACCAAAACGAGGATGTTCTATTTAATATTTATTGCACAGAGTTTAAATTTAAAGCTTATGAAGAGGGCTGTGGGGGGGGGGGGGGGGGGGGGAGGTTTTTATCCAATTCGATATTTTGAACACTTCAGCAAAGTCTATTATCTTGTTGGTAACTATTATTGCGTATTATTATTATTATTATTGCTCTGGTTTTAATACAATTCATGTAAAAAGTCACTTAATTACAATATTTTTTAAAATGTTCCCCTCTTACCTTATCCCTTACCGACCAATTCATTCGGAACCGGAGGCTCGAGATATTGAAGGGGATCTTTCGAAAAAAAAATAGAGAGTAAATATTAAGTAATTAGTATTGGGGCAATCGTTCCATTCAGACAAAGGGCTTTGGGTGAGGGACTTTCTAGCAACTTCTGCAGACCCACTTGCTTCAACATAGATCACTTAATTACACAAATGCTCCGGTTTTGTAAACAACAACAACAAAAAAAAAAACGCCAAGGCTTGCTTTTACAAGCGACACCGATAGATAAAAAAACATCATCGTATTTTCATAAAATAAAATATTTTTAAGACTGTTTTTTGAAAGAAACTTTTGTTTCATAACATGTTTTCAAATACTAATCTCAGTATTTGCAGTGCGTTGTGGTGCACGGAGAGGCCATACCACCCTCACGGGTTTGAAGTGAAACTTGATAGGGTCAAATTGTTTAGGCGCACGGAGTGGTCTAGTGGTAGAGAACTGGACTGCTAAACCGTAAGTCTCGAGTTCGAATCCGGGTTCAAGTCAGAAGACCGTCCATGAGTCTACCCAACTCACCTGACCACACTATCTCTTCCTATGCCGAGGTCACAGAACCAAGGGAACTCTACTGCACTTGCCCTTTAGACCGTCAGGTTTGAAAAAGGAACTTTGCTTTTTTTTTTACACATTCTACTATAGCATTTTTATGCGGTAGGTGTCTACGCTGAATCGAGGACATTCCAGTCCGTTAATTACACCAGTCAACGATCAACTATCCTCGGTCAATTATCCCTATCCCTGTCAATTACTCTTTCGAGTAAATACACTTGTCCCATCCTATTGTTTTAATACATGGTATACATACACCTATCCCTATCTATATCCTACTCCTTATCCAGCTCCCTTTCCCTAACACTATTTCTAAAACTATGTTTCCCTTAACAAATCCCTAAACTTATCCCTATCCCTACCTATACCCATATTTTCTATAACTTATCCCTATCTCTAATTTATCCCTATCTCTAATTTATCCCTATCTCTAATTTATCCCTATCTCTAATTTATCTCTATCTCTAATTCATCCCTATCCCCTATCTATACACGACTCTCCAAGAAAATAAAATAAACACATGCTTGAAGCTAGGTATGAGGGTTATATGATTTTTTTTCCCAATGCAGTTAATTAAGAAATAAACTTAAATAATATAATTAAAATACCATGTTCTTCTTGACAATCAGACAGAATATTCACATGGGCTGAAATTGATGAGGCTTTGGGTTGAAGCCTATTGGTATAATCTTCAGACATGAAAAGGTTAATCTCATGTTGCACTAAATGGACAGTGTGCGTCTTTAGGGTATTTTCATACTTTGCATGCAAAAGAAATAAACAAAGTAGATTTTTTTTAATAAAAAAACTAATAAAATATTTCGCAATCAAATTTGAACTTCATTTTGCTAAGAATAATCGGGTTTCTGTAACATGCAATTAAGTAAGATACAATGACTTTTTGACTTTAGAGAAGCGAAAACTAAGTTTAAATAAGAGCTATATGTGTAGAAGAATCTGTGCTAATAGTGCAAGAAGAGTTGAAATGAACTGGTATACCAAGTAATTTGAGGTTTCTTAGATATGCGTTTGTTGTAGATATGAAAATAAAAATTATAATGAAATGCTTTCTCCACAGTTCAGGCAACGAGCATTTATATTAAGATAACTTTACTACAGGAGTACAGTTATTTGCAATATATTATATATATATATATATAATATATAATATATAATATATATATATATATATATATATATATATATATATATATATATATATATATATATATATATATATATATATATATATATATATATATATATATATATATATATATATGTGTGTGTGTGCGTGTTTGTTTGAGAGTGTGTGCAAATGTGTGTGAGTAATATGCAAATAATCATTTACCTTGATCGATGCGACTAATGTAAGTGAGATCACAGAGGACAGTAATGCAGGTATCGCCAACATAACAATGCTGAAGACATAACACAAAGTAATTAGTCTATTAAAGTGGTTTTTTTTCCTCTTATAGTGAGTATAATGTATTATAATCATGAGGAAAATTATAAGTTCGGGCATTTGTTGCATTCGGGCAAGTGTCCATTCGGGAAATCGGCCTTCGGGCAAGTGTCTTTCGGGAATTTGTCGTAGACCCCTTAAAATCAGACATAGAACCACAGATTGAGTCTGACAGGACAGATTCTTAATTAGATTCTTAAATTGCATAGTAAATTATTAACGTTTTGGAAAATAGTTTACCTTCTAGGACACACATTCTTGAGCACGCATTTGTTAGCACAAAGGGGACCTTTTCTGTTTTAAAACAAAAAAATATAGATTATAGATCAAAAATTCATTTTTTTTAAATTAATCGTAGTAGAACGGTAAAATGTAAAGTACCCTTTCAAACCTGACGGTATTTAAGGCAAGCAAAGTAGAGTTTGCCTGGCATATGAAGATATAGAATGGTCATCACTATGCTTATACATATTTTCTTTCGCTAGAGTGAGTCAAGTATTTCTAGAAAACCGCACTTGATCGCTATCATGCTATATTTGTATGGGTTTATTTTTTTATTTAATTTTTTTTAATTGATATCTAGAAAATTAAATATTGATTAGCTCAATATATTGACTCTTTTTTTTTCAACTAAACGTTTTATTTAACACGTACAATATCTTAAACAAATGCTATTTCTGTGTTTATAGGCTATTATTTGTCACATATTCTATGGTAACCGATGATCTAACTTAGATTTAACAAAATCTATGTCGACATACCTGTCAACCGATGAAACATCATACCGCGATATGACAGGTTGTGTCTTCGGATGACCCTCAAGGCTATATCGGAGGCAGAATATGTTAGAGAAAAATTGCATCAGCCTCCCCAAGAATTTGGGGTCTTGTGATAAGCCGACAACCTCTCCCTGAAGAACAAAAGAACACAGTCACAGAATCCGAAGAAAAAGAAAAACCACAAATAAATAAACCGTGCGCGATCTCCCCTAAACTTTCTCGAATATTCTTTTATAAAAAAAACAGGGGATGGGAACTCGCGATATAGACATTAATTTTAATCCATTTAAATACTTAAACTTTTTAAAATAGAATAAAATCTCGTAGAAAAAAGAATTGCACACCGGTGAACGCCAAATAAAACGTGCATAATAGTGCGGAATATTATTAGTACTTTATAAATTTACATTCGTTTTTTTGAGAAATCGGAAATAGCGTAAATTACTACTTCCACTCAACGGAAATTACTCAAATTTGACAAAAGGTAGAGAATTAGATCTTTTACTTACATGTGAAATTTGATTTATCTATCTGAAATAGTACTCAAGTTATAGGCTTTTTAAAAATTCAAAGTAGAAAAAAGTACCACTTCTTCCGGTTATCGGAAATCGCTCAAAAGTTGATCAGGATCTACGATTTTGATAAAATACTTATATATGAAATTTCATCAACCTAGCTGTAACGGTACTCAAGTTATTGTGTTTACACACAGACACACACACACACACACACACACATACGGACATAGCTCGATAACGAATAAAACGCCAAAATGTTTATATATTTGTATTTAGAATTTTTGCCTGATTAAAATAAGTCCTCTATACTCCGAATGTGACGAAGGACTGAGGAGTAAAACGGTGAAAACTGTCAAAATTTTATGTTATTTTTGTGCACGATTACAATACTTTCTCTATACTTCGTATATACGAGATAGTAAAAAATCCTGGGTAGGCGACGCTGGAGTAGACCCATGACAACAGCGTGCTGGAGGAGGCTGAAAATATAGGGAGGAATTGGGAACAGCTGAAAATATAGGGAGGAATTGGGAACAGCTGGAAAGATAGGGAGGAATGGGGAACAACTGGAAAGATAGGGAGGAATGGGGAACAGCTGGAAAGATAGGGAGGAATGGGGAACAGCTGAAAATATAGGGAGGAATTGGGAACAGCTGAAAATATAGGGAGGAATTGGGAACAGCTGGAAAGATAGGGAGGAATTGGGAACAGCTGAAAATATAGGGAGGAATTGGGAACAGCTGAAAATATAGGGAGGAATTGGGAACAGCTGAAAATATAGGGAGGAATGGGGAACAGCTGGAAATATAGGGAGGAATTGGGAACAGCTGAAAATATAGGGAGGAATGGGGAACAGCTGGAAATATAGGGAGGAATGGGGAACAGCTGAAAATATAGGGAGGAATTGGGAACAGCTGAAAATATAGGGAGGAATTGGGAACAGCTGAAAATATAGGGAGGAATGGGGAACAGCTGGAAATATAGGGAGGAATTGGGAACAGCTGGAAAGATAGGGAGGAATTTGGAACAGCTGGAAATATAGGGAGGAATGGGGAACAGCTGGAAAGATAGGGAGGAATGGGGAACAGCTGAAAATATAGGGAGGAATGGGGAACAGCTGGAAATATAGGGAGGAATGGGGAACAGCTGGAAAGATAGGGAGGAATGGGGAACAGCTGAAAAGATAGGGAGGAATGGGGAACAGCTGAAAAGATAGGGAGGAATGGGGAACAGCTGGAAAGATAGGGAGGAATGGGGAACAGCTGGAAAGATAGGGAGGAATTGGGAACAGCTGAAAATATAGGGAGGAATGGGGAACAGCTGGAAAGATAGGGAGGAATGGGGAACAGCTGGAAAGATAGGGAGGAATGGGGAACAGCTGAAAAGATAGGGAGGAATGGGGAACAGCTGAAAATATAGGGAGGAATGGGGAACAGCTGGAAAGATAGGGAGGAATTGGGAACAGCTGGAAAGATAGGGAGGAATGGGGAACAGCTGGAAAGATAGGGAGGAATTGGAAACAGCTGGAAAGATAGGGAGGAATTGGGAACAGCTGAAAAGATAGGGAGGAATGGGGAACAGCTGGAAAGATAGGGAGGAATTGGGAACAGCTGAAAATATAGGGAGGAATTGGGAACAGCTGAAAATATAGGGAGGAATTGGGAACAGCTGAAAATATAGGGAGGAATGGGGAACAGCTGGAAATATAGGGAGGAATTGGGAACAGCTGAAAATATAGGGAGGAATGGGGAACAGCTGGAAATATAGGGAGGAATGGGGAACAGCTGAAAATATAGGGAGGAATTGGGAACAGCTGAAAATATAGGGAGGAATTGGGAACAGCTGAAAATATAGGGAGGAATGGGGAACAGCTGGAAATATAGGGAGGAATGGGGAACAGCTGGAAAGATAGGGAGGAATTGGGAACAGCTGGAAAGATAGGGAGGAATGGGGAACAGCTGGAAAGATAGGGAGGAATTGGGAACAGCTGGAAAGATAGGGAGGAATTGGAAACAGCTGGAAAGAGTGGTAGGAGACGGTGGGGAGTATGAAGCTTTGACAGAGGACGTGTGTTAACTATGTTCCGCAAGGAACGATAAAAAAAAAGATGATGATATTGAATTACAGCGGGATTATAACTAACTTAGTGGATGTTTTGACGTGATTATAGCACATTTATCTGCAGGTGTGGGCGTCAGTTTATATTCTTTCTTTTTTTTTACACGCATTCAGTTAGCTTGCTTCCTAGTGCTTCGTCCATCCGTCCATCCATCCATCCATCCGTCCTTACATACATACATACATACATATAGGCCTACATACATACATCCGCAGTGGTGGAGTCTGGTGAGGAAATTTTTGACCACTTTCCACCGGACTAATTTGTTTTAAACTTAGCATGTAGGATGGCATTGCAATGTGATATAAAATTTGGCTTATTTGGATGCTTAATTTAATGTTTGATGTGGATGTGTGAATGTTTGTGCGTGCGTGTGTGCATATGTGTGCGTGTGTGTGGGATCCGGACAAAAGGCCGACATGTACAAAAGGCCGACTGCTAAAAGGCCGACATCCAAAAGGCCGACATCCAAAAGGCCGACGAGACAAAAGGCCGACAAGTTTTATAAATAATAAACTACAATTACAGGCATGTTTAATATCTAAAATATGTAATTATATACGACTTTTTAAGTTTCTCATAAATATTCTTAGGTACATAGAATAGGATAAAATAAAACACACGATGTAACCAATTATTTGTTGCCGATATTTTGGTCCATATATAGGGAAATCACAGGGGTAAGTTTACACAAAAAAACAAAAATAACTTACACATTTTGGCACACTTGTATCACAATCACAACAGAATTAATGAATCCAACAAATATAGTATACACTTTTTTCAAGCAATTCGCAATGAACGAAACTAAAATATAATTCAAATTTTGTCTGTATTTAACATGTAGTCCAGTCAAGGCACGCGATTGTTCTACCTCATTCGGTTTCTTTGATTTCTATGCGAAATATGGTGGTAACGCCATCTGTCTGTTTATTTATTGTACACTCCCGTTATCTCCAGTCGCATGGACCCCTTTGTTCACCTTATAAGGATCGCAACTAGCATTGTCTCTTGGCGTTCCACCTTGCGTGTGGGCGATGACGCTGGCGGCTTTCAACTTGGTTCTTTGACGAATATCTCACCTTGATTACATAGAAGGTGCTATGAAAGACAGCAGTGACAGCATTTCGCAATATTTAGCGGTTGATCGTTTGTGTTTAAGACACTCCCGTAATATTCAGTCGCTTGACCAGATGACTCATCTTATAAGGATAGCAACTAGCACCGTCTCTTCTCTTGAACGTTTCACATTTTTTCATGCCTTATTTCGATGGTTGTCAGTAACACATATTTTGCGAAATTAGTATTTTTTATGCTTGTCGGCCTTATGGTTTGTCGGCCTTATGGTTTGTCGGCCTTATGGTCTGTCGGCCTTATGGCTGTCTGCCTTATGGCTGCCGGCCTTATATCCTGTCGGCCTTATGTCCTGTCGGCCTTTTGGCTGTCGGCCTTTTGTCCATGTCGGACTTTTGTCCGTGTCGGCCTTATGTCTTGTCGGCCTTTTGGATGTCGGCCTTTTATCCTACACCCCTTTGAATTTACCTTAGTGGGCTTATTTTCCCCAAGTTATAAAGTAGGCCTAATTTCATAGAAACGACAGCCACACTATTTTATATCCGTGTTCAGATTTTTCTCAATACCGTTATGTTAACACATGCGTGCCCGGGAATTGTAACATAACGTATATCGTTGACACACTATAGCGTGTGAAAGTTAAGGTTACCTGCGGTAACAGCTATTTAGTTGCTCGACGGGTTTCCAGCTAAAGCAATTAATAGAAACATTTTTAAAAAAAAATAAATGTACATGTTGTTTCTATGCGCGTCGCAAATTAATTAAAGACATTTTTAAGCCAAAACAAAACACTTCACATTGAACTGTTACATCGTATACATTTATGCAAGTGAATCATAGAAAGCCTACCGAAACATCACATTTGTTAGAAGTATTTCTCTTCATAATTTTGTTATAGAACTAGATCTAGGTGTAAGTTGTACACAGTGTTTCTTCCAGACTTTTTTCTCCGGGGGGGGGGGGGGGGGGCAGGGCGGTAGACTTTCTTCAGGGGGGGGGCGGACACTAAAAAGTATATATTTTCTATACAAATTATATAAATTTCATTTCGTTCGGGGGTGGGGGCGGTAGAATTTTCGAGGGGGGGGGGGGCGTCCCCCCCCCGAAGAGATGCCTGGAAGAAACTCTGGTTGTACAGCTAATACATATTTTATAAATATAATTTTTTTCTCTAGTCAAACCAAAATAAAACCATATATATTAATATAGACATTTTCCTTTTGGGTATTTGATGCACTTCCAGTGATCTAAGAATTTTATGTTTAGTTCCAAGACAGTAATACAATATTTTTTTTAAATACACAATATCATGTACTTAAAATAAACCACTAAAAATGTAAGAAAAGTACCTCCATCAACAAGACTGACGGATTTAGCTTATGACATAAATCTGGGCTGTCGTTACTTTAAAAAAAAAAAAGCAGTGTGGAGGAGGAGGGGGAAAACGAATGGTTCCCAACATTAACAACATTCAAGTTAGGCCATGCATACCTGCGCAGGCTTGAACAGCTTTTTTCCTGTTCAGTTAATAAATAGTTAGAGTTAAAAAGTCTTATACGTGCACATTGACATTCTCTACAATACACACAAACTCTGTCACATACACACACACACTATCTCTCTCTCTCACACACACTAATACCCGCACACACAAATACCCACACACGAGCATTTATATATATATATATATATATATATATGTATACTGTTTCATCCTTTGGTGTATGTAGGGGGGTGACACCATGAAGTGCCGCACCAGGAGACGCCCGACCTAGCGACGCCACTGGTTTTATGTGCTGGTTATAATTTTGGCACGAAGATAAGATTTTTACTTTTTCGTATACGAAGCAGGGATAGAATTGTGGTAAACAATAACATGCACATTTTAAAATAAACCGGGAGTGATCTCCCCTAAACTTTCTAGAATATTCTAATATAACACTACGTGGGATGGCAACTCGGAATATAGACATAATTTTTGTTTACTTAAACTTTTAAAAACAGAATAAAATCTAGTAGAAAAAGAATTGCGCACCAAGCGAACGCCAAAATAAAATGTGCATAATAGTGCGCAATATTATTAGTACTTTATAAATTTACATTCGTTTTTTTGAGAAATCGGAAATTGCGTAAATTAGTATTTCCGGTAAACGGAAATTACTCACAATTTGATAGAAGGTAGAGAATTAGATCTTTTACTTTCATGTGAAATTTCATTTATCTATCTGAAATAGTACTCACGTTATAGGCTTTTGAAAAATTCAAAGTAGAAAAAGTACCACTTCCGGTTATCAGAAATCGCTCAAAAGTTGATACGGATTTACGGATGAAATTTCATCAACCTAGCTGTAACGGTACACACAGATGGACAGACACAAACATACACACACACAGAGACACACAGGCATACGGACAAGATTGCGAAATTATGTTTTTCCGTATCAGTAAGGCAGAGGCGTAGCGACCCTACCCGGCGCCCAGGGACAAACTTTCGATTTGCACCCCCCTCGAACTTTTCATTTGCACCCCCCCCCTTCAAACTTTCAATTTGGCGCCCCCCCCCTCGCTACGCCTCTGCAGTGTGGTGTAAAACGTCGAATTTGTAAAAATCTGGACTTTTTTTTTTGCACAATTACAAGACTTTCTCTATACTTCGTATTTACGAGAAAGTAAAAAATTAAAATCGAGATATTGAGAATTCTGGACGTTTTACTACTTTTACACCTTTCCGGTTAGGAACAACCCAGTTTTGCAAACGTATGTGTGTGTGTGTGCATGTGCGTGTGTATGTGTGTGTGGGCATGTGTCACTTTGTGCGTGTGCGCATGTGTGTGTGTGCATGTGTCACTTAGTACCGTTTCAGTTAGATATATTATATATAGGTGATTGCCTATTCGTGTGTAATTTTCGGTAACAGGAAGTGATATTCTGCTATTTTTTAATGAGAACACAATATCTTGCGTGCTATTTAAGTTGGGTAGGCTAAATTTCATATATAAGAATAATATTTACAGTGATTTCCAATATTCGGAATTGGTACTTTACTCCATTTTCGGTTTCTAAAATATACCGATAACTTGACTACCGCAAAGGTTACACGGAAGCAATAGCGCTGGTAAGTAGGTCACCAACCAGTTCTACGGCTCAATAAAACCTGCATGAGCCATAGAACTGTTTATTGACCTACTTAACAGCCCTATTTCTATTATACGTATTAGAACATACATAAAGACATCCAAACTTTTAGAGTGCTCTTCGGTAACCGAAAAAGTTTTTTGTGTTTTTATGCCTTGTGGACACGATAACTTTAGTGCCGTTTCGGATAAGTTTTACGAAATTTCATACATAATTATTATATACTAGACTACCTGTTATCTAGTTAGGTAACTGTGGGTTTCGAGGGTCATCCATAAATGACATCACGTCTGCCACAAAAAATCCAGACCCCACATTCAAAAAGGCGTCACACCTCAGACGTTTTTGTCTTTTAAAAACACTGATTTCGTCTGAGCATGGGTCTGACAACATAATCTCATCATATGCTGAGGTCACAAAAACAGGTCAACTCTACTTCACCTGCCCAGTGTCCTTTCAACTCATACATGTTTTTGTCTTTGTAAACAAAGATTTTGGCTGAGCATGGGCCTGACCACACTATCTCTTCATATTCTGACGTCACAGGTGAGCTTTAAACCTACCCAACACTACTTCACCTGCCCAGTGTTCCGCCAAGTCTCAGACATGTTTTATCTTTAAAAAAAATTTTCGCTCGAGCATGGCTCTGACCACACTATCCATGATATATACTGAGGACAAAGAAACAGGTGAACTCTAATTCACCTGCCCTGTATCCCGCTAAGTTCGAATAGGCAAAGGCAACTTTATCATTCACAAAAAAAAAAAAATAATAATAAAAAAAAAAAAAAAATTAAAAAAAAAAACACTTTAGAGTAGGTAATAACTTTTATATTTTACTTTTAGTCTGCGTAAGAATCTACGCGAATCGGCCCTAGAATTAGTTCTAGAATTATTTCAAATTAAATTTTATTTTAAATTAGCCAATTATATAGCTAAACAAACAAAGATTTATATAAAATAGTTAAGGCCTGAAATAGATTCTAGATGTAGAATTTACATTAAGTCTTGATCTAGAAACTTTTTAGCGCAACTTCGATACGGACAATTGCGATTATTAACTCGTCATTTCTGGATGGATGAATGAATGGATGTGTGTCCGCAGCTTTAAGTCGTATCTCCTCCTCAACGAAGCAATATCGAGGACTAGTTCCAAAGCAAATATGTTAAGCAAGTTCCGAGGATGATTGTGGGCCAAAAAAATTCCCGGAATTCCTTCCTGGATTTCCCGGAAAAGCCAAAAAACCTCGAAAAAAATGCAGTTTTTGGCCTATATCTCGGCAACCAGACCACTAAGCGACTTGAAACATTTACCAATCGATTTCTGCCATAATTTTGAACAATATTGCAGAAGAAAGTTTTCAAAAATATCCTTTCGTTCGGTCACAAAAAAGTAATTAAGAACATTTAAACTGAGCATCGTGTAGGCCTAGGATATTTTTTTAAACTGAGCATCGTGTAGGCCTACTCGTTAAAATAAAATTATTTCCGTTGATATAGGTTAATATAGTTGTCTTTTTTTAGCGCAAAAAAATATCCTTTCGTTCGGTCAAAAAAAAAAAAATTGTTATGGATAACATAAGGAAATTGCGCTTAAATTGTCACTAGACTTTTTATTAACTTGTTTTCTTCCTTCGACAGCTGATCTGTAAAATCTAGATCTAGAGAAATGTATTGTATAATAAAATAAAAAGAACTGTTAAAACATTGACAATAGTGTTGAAACGTAATAAAAACAGCAAACGGACGTATTGTTAAAGTTATAGACAACAGAAAATTAGCTTTAGAACGCGTTAAAGATCTGAATAGGCCACGAAATATTGTATTGGAGCCGCCATTGATTGTGCTAAAGAGTAAACAAATCATGTGACGTCACTATTCACTCAAAGTAAAGTCGTTTTTTTCTAAACTTTTAAAATTAATGTGCTTAATCTACCAATGAATAAATCAATACATTAATTAACTTAAATAAATTAATTGTTGTGACTGACCCATTCTCTAATTGATCACTAGCGTACCCGTCACGTCCACTGCTGCGATCTCAGAAGAAATAGAATGACACTCGTTTTGATACTTTTTTAAAAATGTAGGGACCATAGTGCTTATGGGGGAGCCCGTAGTATGACCGTCTGGGGTGCGCGGTGGATGTTTCTGATTCGATTTAGTAATTGATTATATTCGTCCACCGTATCCACAACGCATAGCGCTATTTAAAACGCACGTAGGCGCCATAGCACTCATAGCATAGTTCATAACGCACCGGGAACATGGAATTAAGTAGTACCCTGACACCAGGAGATAAGATGGGGAACTCTGGGCGTCAAACCGCATCCTTCTGCCGGGGCGGGTCTCTTCGAAAAAAACAATGAATCGCAAAAAATTAAAAAAAAATACTCTCAAAAGCTTCCAAAAGCTTATGGCAATCAAACGAAAGGTGTAGTAATGCACTAAAGACAGACGGACACACATACATACTTATTTATTCACATGTATTTATTCTCTTACAGATGTAATCAAACACAAAACAAAGTCACCTTACACTCGAGGTATTACATTGTATAATATTTATTGAGATGTTCCATGTTTTTAATTTCCTTTCTAAAACTCCGTGTTCATTTGGTGACCAGACGTTTGGCGCACACTAGGAGTAGGACCAGGATGAAAACAAAGTCGCCAAGAGAGAAGAACCGGAAGCTGAGATTGTTGTACGCATGCGCAGACGCATCGTTGATGTGTTGGAGAAGGAAAGCCGCCATAGACGTCGGTTCCTCTTCAACGAGAGTCTCGTTTTTTACCTCCTTCTCTTCGGGCTCTTCGATGTATTCTGTAAGTGTATTTAGAGTGAAAGTACTATACATACCAGATGAAGTAGAGTTTATATACAGGTTGGTTTTTTTTTACTCGGTGCAGAGGCGTAGCGGGAGGGGGGGGGCGGGGGGTGCGGACCGCGCCGGGTGACACCATTTAGGGGGGTGACACCAAGGCAAAAAATAGCAAAATATATAGAGGAAAATTTGAGGGGGGGGGGGGGTGCCAATCGAAAGTTTGAGGGGGGTGGGTGCAAATCGAAAATTTGAGGGGGTGCAAATAAAAAATGTGAAAGTTTGTTCCTGGGAAGGGTCGCTACGCCTCTGGGGGTGGGGGTGGGGTGACACCATTAAGTGCCGCACCGGGTGACACCCGACCTCGCTACGCCACTGACTCGGTGTACGAAGGTGAGGTTTAGTCCAGAAACTTGTAGATTTTCTTTCCTTTTTCGCAATTTAAATATCGGGAGTGGGGTGGGAGGGACTTAAAATTTCCGATAGAGTTAAGGGCAACCTGTATTTTCTTGACAAGAGCCAGGTACTCAGTAAAGCTGAGTGGACCTCAGAGTTGAGACGAATTAGAGATTTTAACTACTTAACCGCATCGTATCATGTAAAAATGTTTTGAGAAATATTTCGACCAAAATAAAAATTGTGCGTAGAAAAAATACTAATGATAATATTTTGATTATATTAGTTATATGTAACGTGTTGTAATTTTAAAATATATTAAAACACCTTGACTTAACGACATATTGTCTTGTGAAGTCGACCAACTGACCAAAGCCTAGCCCTAGACATACAGACCTATTAAACCGCTGCACTGTGACCTTAATCTATTAGCATAAGAATATCGCTAATATTCAGGTAAAACAGAAAAAAAGTTCTGTCCTTGACCTATTAACCCGCTGCACTGTGACCTTAATCTATTAGCATAAGAATATCGCTAATATTCAGGTTTTAAAAAAAGTCTGTCCTTGACCTACTTACCAGTGACCTGGACCTTGACCTACTTACCAGTGACCTGGACCTTGACCTACTTACCAGTGACCTGGACCTTTTCCTCGGCCACCAGCTCCAGGACCTTGTTGCTCCCTGGTGCCAGACACCCAACCCTGCACTGGAAGCAGCCGCTGTCCAGTGTGGAGCTGTTGGTCACGGTCAGCTTGACCATCACCGCGTCACGGTTGAACGGTTTGTAGAAGTCGCCCTTCAGCTCCACCTCCCAGTTCTTGTGAGCCTTGAAGTGCTAGTCGAGGTTGGAGAAGGAACGGATGTCATAGAAGGAATTTTTTCTAATTCAGTTGACCGATAATAGGAGACGGTACAAATTACAAATAACAAAGTGCTAAAACAATTGTCCAATTTATTAGACGTGACAAATTTCAAATAATGAAAGTGCTAAACAGTGTTTCTTGCAGACTTTTTTCTCCGGGGGTAAGGGGGGGGGCACTTGATATTTTCGGGAGGGGGGGCACGTCAACATTTGGGGGGGGGGGGGGTGGACACTGGTAAAAGTATATGTTTCCTACATAAATTCCATTTCGTTAGGGGGGGGGGGGGGTTTAGACTTTCTTCAAGGGGGGGGGGAGGCGGAGCACACCCGAAGGGATGCCTGGAAGAAACTCTGGTTCTAAACCAATTGCACAATTTATAAGACGTAACCCTAAAACTAAAACTTTGATGAAAAACAAAAAAACACCCCCCACCCCCTCCTTTCAATACGCACTTCTGGATGGTGAATTTAAAAAGCTACCCTCGTCCACGCATGCGCACAGCACCTACCATCTTGCGCGTGGATTTGTTGTTTTTGTAGTCCAGGCGCACGACCACCGCGTAACGCCGGTCACATCCGGGCGAGCGGAGGATGGTCACGTGTTTGATGGTGGTGACGTCAGGGCTCATGCTGACCCTCCTGGCGTCGCAGACGGCTTTGTACGTGTCCCCCACGTGCACGGGTTCCGGGCCGACGATGTAGGCAGGTACCCTTTCTAGGTGAGTACAAAAATGAAAGAGTAAGCAGAATCAGTGTCGTATTTTTTTTAACGAATGAGGTAAAGTAGCATTATATTTTTACTAATGAGGTCAGGTAGTATTATATTTTTACTAATGAGAGAAAGTAGCATTGTATTTGTACTAATGAGGGAAAGTAGCATTATATTTTTACTAATGTCAGCAGGTAGCATTATATTTTTACTAATGTCAGCAGGTAGCATTATATTTTTACTAATTAGGGCAAATAACATTATATTTAGACAGGTGAGAATAAACGGTGTCTATTTTTACTAACAAGGACAAGTGGGATTATATTATGTACAGTGGTGAAAATAAACAGTTGTGTTTTTATAAGTGCGGGCAGGTAGAATTATAGTAATGTTGGCGATGATAAGCATAAGGTGGTATAGGCGTGTTACTTGAATCAACAACCTATCCGAAATAAGAATTCAAAGGGTAATCTTCCAGGGGGAGGGGGGAGAATGGGGTAGGCAAAGATGTCAATGGATGGATGACATAAAAGATTGGTCAGGGCCGTCCATTCCAGAAGTACTCACAGCAACAGAGGACCGAGACTAATGGCGGGAAATTATGAGTAAATCATATGTGATGCCTTAACGACCCCACCCCCTTTTTTAAATTAGGTGACAGTCTATGTCTTAGCTTTGCTTAAAATATTTCCTTTCAGTCGATGCCAGTATTTTAAAAATATGCGAATTTGATTTTATTACTAAAATTCTAAACGGGCGTTCTATTAATAGCCGTTGCTACCAGTCTATTTTCGTCTTCTGTGCTTTGTCTTGTCGTGTTTATTAATTTAAGTGTGATTGTTTTGTTTCTTGTAGCTGTTTGATTGGTGTTTTTTTATATTTTCGCAAGTGCTCGCTTTGTTTTCTGTGCAGTTACATTCTAATTCTAAATAAATGTATTTCTCAGTTTCTTGTATGTTTTATTTACTCGTTTGACGTGTTATTTTGACAATGGGACTTAACTTTGTATAGCGCGAAACGTGTGTTGTGTTAAAGATCAGCCTGTATGCTACCTCTCTTTCTTTTGCAAAAGTTTAAAGATAACTGATTGATTGATGAGAATAAAGTGTCGTATTTATACTATTGGGGACACGTCGGGTCATATTTATACGATAGGGTTTATGTCATATGTACATTAGTGAGAATAAATGGTATCTTCTTTTTCCTCCGTCTTAACTATCATAAGGGAGAGAATTACCTCCAACTAATTTTTTCCGTTTCAACAAGTTATGGAGCATAACTCAAAATTTAACCTGCTTTTCTTTTCAGAAAGCTGAAGTTGTTAAATTTTTTAGTTATCTCCCCTAGACTGGTTGCAGTCCGCTGATAACAGTTCTGACTGCCCGGGGTTCGAACTATGAGCCAGAGGCGTAGCGAGGGGGTGGGGGGGGGGGGTGCGGACCGCACCGGGTGACACCATTTAGGGGGTTGACACCAAGGCAAAACATAATAAAATATATAGAGAAAAAATTGAGGGGGGGGGGGAAGTGCTAATCGAAAATTTGAGGGGGGGGGGGGTGCAAATCATAAATTTGAAAGTTTGTCCCCGGGAAGGGTCGCTACGCCTCTGGGGGGATGACACCATTAAGTGCCGCACCGGGTGACACCCGACCTCGCTACGCCACTGACTATGAGCAATCAGACTATCGCAGCTAGTCTCTTTTTCGGAATCCCAGACTCGAATCCACAAAAGCTTTACCTGACTCACGGTAGGGAAAGTCAAGGTTGCTGGGTATAGTACTGACCACAGTATCCTTACAATGCCAAGGTGACTGACCATTAAACTCTACTTCATCTGCCCCCTGAATCGCCAGGTTCGAAATGGCAACTTTTTTTTTCTTGATGTTTTGAGTTTGAGTTTGTTATACACTGAATATGGGGATCTTGAGAAAGTGTGATGACGCAAGATTACGTCAGACATGTTTAGCAGATATAGGTTAACAGAAACAGACTATAGGCCTAGTTGGTTGGTTAGAGAGACCAATGGGCGCACAGGACTGACCGGTCACGTGGGACGGTCAGCTGACCACTGAGGCGTGGGTCAGTAGAGAGATTAGCGGGTTGATATGTAGATAGCGAGGAGAGAAGGTGTTAGGTAGTGGTTAGAGACGGTTGTAATTTGCAGAGCTACGGAACAGTTAGTTAGTGTTAGGATTGGTCATGGGAGTGCGTAGTAGTAGGTAGCATGTGGTATGAACAGTCAGTAGTAGAAGTAAATAGTACAGTGTAGATCAGTTAGGTAGAAACTTGAACATATATATCATTTTAATAAAGAACAATTATAGTTGAACTTGAACTGTGTGTTATTGCATTCATTCGTTCCGCCTTCATAAAAATCCCCACCCTCACAACTGGTGGAGCGCGGGTCGAGTACAGGAAAGACAGTATATTGGTTACTCATGACGGAGTGTACTGGTGTACAGCTTTCTTAACTCAACACAACAGAGGGTTCTTCAACCGGAACGAGTTTGGATTACCAACACAAGGGAACAGTCTACATGTCCAAAAAGATAAGTACCTTCCAAATTTTTTTTAAACGTTTGGGTTTAGACTTGTGCTGGATATTTGGTGCCAGCGGTTTTTCTGCCTCTTTCTTATCTGTTTCTTCAACCACACTACCCTTAAAAATGCCTCCATTGTACGAAGTGGGCACTAAAACTGAGCTTAAGTCAGGCCTAGAAGAGTCAGGTAGAATTGATAACTCGTTACTAGATATAAATGTTCAGAGTACAGTCAAAGTGAAAAGCAATTCAAGAACTATTGAGGATCCAGATATTCTGGATGAATTGATTATTAGGCTTGGACAATACACGACAACAGAAAATCGAGACTGGTTATTAACTGTTAAAGAATTTGACGCAAAAACTCTAGATGATCCAGATGCTATGGAAGATTTGATCAATAGAATTGTAGACTACAAGGTAACCGGAGATCCAGATTCCTTGTTGACTGAAGAAGAATATGATGCAAAGATAGATGCCGAGTTAGCAGAGAAACAAAGAGAAGCAGAAACATATATTGCCGGAATTAAAGAAGAAACAGAAAGAATTCGTAAAGAAAGAGAAAAATTGAGAGAACTTTGCCAAGCCAAACAAGAAACGGTGCAAAGTTTAGATACGAATAATAACAACCAGACAGCCGAAACAACATTTTACTATTCCTACGATTCAGATTCAGATGACACGTTCAGTGAAGCAAGCGAAATACCTACAACAAAAAGTGAAACACAACATACACTCCAAAAACATAATACGGCAAATCACAACATTCAGATTAACTACAGTCAACAGAAACACAATTACAGTGTCAGATGCTACTATTGTAATAGAACAGGCCACAAACAAATAAATTGCAGAATACGATATTATGACAGACGCAAACAAGATGCACAACGCAACAGACCAAAATATAGACAGATAAATAGAATAGCTTTTATGTCATCGTTTACAGAGGCCAGTAGAAGAACAGACATATTTACGTCAAAAATTAATAACAGATACGCAACAGCAATTAGGGACACACACTGCTCAACAGTGGCAGTACGTAACACATTCGTACAACACCACCAATACACAGGTAGAACACAACGTGTTCACAGTTCAAGAGGCAGCACATATGTTTGGCCAACAGCTATAGTCACCATAGCCACACACTCAGCGTGTAAAACAGTTGAAGCAGTTGTTTTCAAAAACGGGCCATACGATATGATACTAGGCAACATTACAGGAGTGAAGCAATTTAATGTAGAATTTATGAACTACAAGCGGCAAGTAAACAAGCAGCCCAGTATTCGAGACAACGAAAAAGTAGACGAATTGCAATTCAAAACGGACAAGTTGATAGAAAAAGTTAACGAGGTTATTGATGATCATTCTAGAAAGACTACCGAGATTGGTGCAGATGTTCTTAACTTAAGACTTCAGAACGACACAGTCAGTAATAGATTGCTGAGATTACAGAAATCAGTAAACAATGAACCAGAGGAATATGTAACAAGGCATTTGATAGCAAACAAACAGTACTGTTACTCCTGGTCAGCGTTAAACCAGGTGACCCCATCAACACACCTACACAAACACAAGTATAGTAATCATAGACCACGTGAAAGCTCGCGACACAATTGTCCACACCGAGCCCCGCCCTATCGGTCCTAGTGTGGTATATTAAGGCCTGGATAGAATTTGACCCGGAACGCCCCCACGAATGTTTTTGAACAACGGACTAAAGTCAAGTCGAGTTTTTTTTTTCTGTCAATCTAAGTCGCCGAGAAATCGGCGTGAAGTCAAAGAAGTTATTTAAAGTCAGTCAAGTCAGTCAATGTTGTTAAAGTCGTTGAGGTCATAGTGACGTTGTTGAAGTCATGTTGCAGTCAAAGAAAAGTCTTTGAAGTCATATTGAAGTTGTTGAAGTCAAAGTGAAGTCTTTGAAGTCATATTGAAGTTGTTGAAGTCAAAGTGAATTATTTGATGTCATATTGAAGTAGTTGAAGTCAAAGTGAAGTCTTTGAAGTCATATTGAAGTAGTTGAAGTCAAGGAAAAGTCTTTGAAGTCAAAGTGAAGACGTTTAAGTCGTCGAAGTTTAAGTCGGTCAGTGAAGTCTTTAAGTTGAATTGAAGTGAAGTCGTCGAGGTCAAGTTAGTCTTCAAAGTGAAGTTAGTCGTCAAGTTGAAGTAATTGAAGTAGTCAAAGTGGAATCCGTCGTTAAATTGAAGTCAGTCAAGTTACTGAAGTCAAAGTGAAATAAGTGAAGTTACTGAAGTCAGTCAAAGTGAAATAAGTCGAGTTACTGAAGTCAAAGTGAAATAAGTCAAGTTACTGAAATCAGTCAAGTTACTGAAGTCATGAGTGAAGTCAGTCATTAAGTCAAGCTAGCCAGTTTTTTGTCAGAATTCAGATAGTGAGAGCTGCTCCACTATATGATTACGTATTCAAATGTTGATTTGAAACGGCACGATTAATTATATACACTTACATGTCTATTCTTTTTGTGAAGCTAATTCTAAGCTCTAGTAGTGTTTACGTCTATTGAGTTTATTAGGCTTTACACATTGTTGTTAGAGTGTACTGATTTTTTATTTGGTTAATTTTGTAATGTTATATTTGTATGCTGTATGTACCGCCAGACAAATGTTCAGCACGTTTAAATTTGGGATTGAGGTTTTTTTTTAATGGAAGGTACCTCTGTCTGAATACTTGTCTGCGCGGGCACTAAGATGGTCACGTAAAACCATTGCTCATAATCTCGTAATACAATTTCAGACCCACTACGCTTATTCAGAATGCCGCCACCTGAAGCCCTGATTACGCTGAATTACCTGGACAGCGAACAGCCCTGCTTAACAGAGAATTGCCCTGGTCAAGACAGCGGACGCTTCGCCACCGCTCCACACCCGCACTGGGGTTGAATAACAGACCGCCAGCTACGTACACCCTCGTCGGCAGATACAAAGGGTAGAAGACCCATCGTCCAAGTTCCCAGCGTCGGAATGTTACGTCATTGTTCGCCACGCATCAGACAGCTCCAGTTCATCGTATAACCACTCTACGTGGACGTCTCAACCAGCGTTGAGATGAGATTGTTGCGTCATCACATTGACCAACGAAAGTTACGCCTACACCCGCCTCACGGGAACTTACGTAGACCAACGCCACTACCCACCCACCACAGATAAACGCCAATAAGTACATAACACTTACACACACACACACTTACACTGCTCGTTGAGCCCGTTCAACCAGTTACACATTCTACTAAGATTAGGTCAAGGCCAGTACACGACAACCTAGCCAGAACTGAGTTACACATGATTGAATTCACACATAACATAACATAGACATACATTATCAAGCAGAGACACCACAGACGTCAGGATACCGTACAAGAACTAGAACAATGACATTCCTTTCCAAGAACACAGACAGAAGATTTTATGTTTTTGTAAACTGTGCTGTCCCATTTTGTATTTGATTTACATGATTGATGTTAGGGATAGAATAGAGTAGTAAGATAGATAGTTGTTGATGTATTAGATTAGTAGCAGACGCTGAAAAATATAATTTGTCAGCTACAGAAAGGGAGGGAGATATGTGATGACGCAAGATTACGTCAGACATGTTTAGCAGATATAGGTTAACAGAAACAGACTATAGGCCTAGTTGGTTGGTTAGAGAGACCAATGGGCGCACAGGACTGACCGGTCACGTGGGACGGTCAGCTGACCACTGAGGCGTGGGTCAGTAGAGAGATTAGCGGGTTGATATGTAGATAGCGAGGAGAGAAGGTGTTAGGTAGTGGTTAGAGACGGTTGTAATTTGCAGAGCTACGGAACAGTTAGTTAGTGTTAGGATTGGTCATGGGAGTGCGTAGTAGTAGGTAGCATGTGGTATGAACAGTCAGTAGTAGAAGTAAATAGTACAGTGTAGATCAGTTAGGTAGAAACTTGAACATATATATCATTTTAATAAAGAACAATTATAGTTGAACTTGAACTGTGTGTTATTGCATTCATTCGTTCCGCCTTCATAAAAATCCCCACCCTCACAGAAAGCATTATCGATATGTTACACAGTGGAGTAGGATTGCTTAGGAAATTTGTCGTGGCATATATTTTGTATTTTTAAGACTAAAACAAATGATAAAAAATGTCTTTCATAAAATGTAGAATTACTTCAGATAGTAGGGGTTTGTAGTAAAGTGTTGGTGCCAGCTTATGACGGATTTGGTTGGTGGATAAAAATCAGCTAAAATGAGCTTTGGACATATATAAATTACGAGCTGACCCGCGCCGTAAGCATACGCCGCTATTTAGTTTATTTATTTGCTACTTTTCAGTAATTCATAATTTGTGAATTCGACACTACTACCCTCTTTCCCCCTTCTCCCCCCCCCTCCCTCCCCCCCCCCCCCCTCTCCGTAGGAGGAACGGCTAAGCCCTTACATGGTGGTGTCTTGTATGGTCCCCAAGTAAAAGTAAAGTTTCCCTTTCAAACCTTACGGTCTATGGGGCAAGTGAAGTAGAGTTCACTTGTTTCTGTGACCTCGGCATATGAAGAGATAGAGTGGTCAGCACTATGCCCAGCCGCCTTTACTCTCCCTAACGTGAGTTAGGTACCCATCAGAGTTGGGTGGACTCAGGGACGGTCTACTGGCTTGAACCCGGATTCGAACTCGAGACTTACGGGTTAGCAGTCCAGCTCTCTACCGCTAGATAAATCCGTCCCTATGGTCCCCAAGTAGGGAATTATATATATATATATATATATATATATATATATATATATATATATATATATATATATATATATATATATATATATATATATATATATATATATATATATATATATATATATATATATATATATATATATAAGATCCCTACCACTAAGCTAACATGGGGCAGAAGATTAGGGTTGGAGTCATGGTTTTAATAAGGGTAAAGTACTACATTTTAGATTAACACTATATAAAAACAACTAAGACAGCGTTAGTAGGATTCGAACCTGTGACAAGCAGAGTACTATCGAAGGTCTCCTTGATGACCGTCTTGTTCTGGATGTACTCGACCCCGCACGTGTAGAGACCCGAGTCTCTCAGCTGAGATTTTCTCTTCACCGCCTGCAGCTTTACGCTCATGTCGCCTTCCTCGTCCGCTGATTTTACTAGGGATATTCTCCAATTCTTGCCCAGCTTCTCATTCTTTGGAAAGTAAGCATATATATAGAGAGAGACACACATTTGTATATATATATATATATATATATATATATATATATATATATATATATATATATATATATATATATATATATATATATATATATATATATATATATATATGGATAGATAGATATGGATATGGATATGGAAAGTAAGCATATATATAGAGAGAGACAAACATTTGTATATATATATATATATATATATATATATATATATATATATATATATATATATATATATATATATATATATATATATATATATATGGATAGATAGATATGGATATGGATATGGATATGGATACGGATACGGATACGGATACAGATGTAGATGTAGATGTAGATGTAGATGTAGATGTAGATGTAGATGTAGATGTAGATGTAGATGTAGATGTAGATGTAGATGTAGATGTAGATGTAGATGTAGATGTAGATGTAGATGTAGATGTAGATGTAGATGTAGATGTAGATGTAGATGTAGATGTAGATGTAGATGTAGATGTAGATATAGATATAGATATAGATATAGATATAGATATAGATATAGATATAGATATAGATATAGATATAGATATAGATATAGATATAGATATAGATATAGATATAGATATAGATATAGATATAGATATAGATATAGATATAGATATAGATATAGATATAGATATAGATATAGATAGATATGTGTGTGTGTGCGTTTGTGCGTTTGTGTATAAGATATATTCATATGGAGATAAATATGAATATAAATATATCAAAATGTCCTAGACGTCTGGATATTTTCAATTTGAAGTAGATTTATCAACATCATCTAGACATTGATGAACGTGACCAATGTTTTAAGCCAAGCAGACCAGCATCAGGGGGAACAAGCAGAGGCGTAGCGACCCTTCCCGGCGCCCGGGGACAAACTTTTCGATTTGCACCCCCCCCCCCCTCAAACTTTCGATTTGCACCCCTCTCAACCTTTCAATTTATTTTTCCGACCCATTTTGGCGCCCCCCAATGTCGGCGCCCGGGGACATATGTTCCCCCCCCCCCGCCCCCGTTCCCCCCCCCCCCCCCCCCTCGCTACGCTACTGAGAACAAGTGAGTCTTTCTCTCCACAGTGTTAGCTAACTGGGAAAAGGGGAAGGGCGGGTAATGTGGCATTGCAAATGGCTTGCTTCTCAATCCCTGGTAACAGACTCTTGACTTCCGGGTTAGCAAGCCAGGCTTTTACATCTAGACCCTAGACAAACCTCTACTGTAACTCAATCTTTTCTAAATCTAGACCCTTACGAAACCTCGATTAAAACTCAATCTTAATAAAACCTCGACTATAACTCAATCTGGTTTACATCTAGACTCTAACAAAACCTCCACAATAACTCAATCTTTTCTAAATCTAGACCCTAACAGACCCTAACAAAACCTCGACTATAACTCAATCTTTTCTAAATCTAGACCCTAACAGACCCTAACAAAATCCTCGACTATAACTCAATCTTTTCTAAATCCAGACTAACAAAAACCTCAACTATAACTCAATCTTTTCTAAATCTAGACCCTAACAGACCCTAACAAAAACCTCGACTATAACTCAATCTTTTCTAAATCCAGGCTAACAAAAACCTCAACTATAACTCAATCTTTTCTAAATCTAGACCCTAACAGACCCTAACAAAAACCTCAACTATAACTCAATCTTGTTTACATCTCGATGCTAAAATCAACTCGACCAAAATTCAATCTGTTTTTACATGTAGACCAGAACAAAACATCGACTATAACTCAATCTTATTTACGATCAAAACCCTAACAAAACCACAGCCATAACTCAGCCTTACTCGTGTCAGCCTTGGTCCTTTTCTGTTCGTGGGCCGGAAGGTCGCAATCTGCGCGACCGTCGTCTCATCCTGGGGGACGCAGGAAAGGTCAAGGCTGAGTATCTTGTCGGCCATGACATCGACCTTGGCCATCCTCGGGTCACAGGTCACGACCAGTTCACTTCCTTGCATTACGTTATGTGGATGTTGGATCACTGTGTGGGCTAGAGGCAACAAAAGTCACGTGAGCAAAGATCAGCTGGACGATTCATGTTGGAAGCAGGTGAAGAAGAGTTCACCTGATTCCGCATCACGGCTAATCATTTGATTTGGCCAGCACAATGTACTACCTTTACGCTTACTACACCAAAATGCAAAAGACACCAAAACAATTTATCAGATTTGTTGTATAGGATTTCAGCGTACATAGACGTATACGGTAAAATGAAGTTACCATTACATCCCTTTCTTGAAAGGGATCCCGTTCTGCTACCCCGAAATAGACCGTATGAGTTTGTTATTATCTACAGTAAGTAGGAGTAAATGGGGCCGCTAGAATGCTAATCCGAAAGTCTCGAGTTCTAATCCGGGTTCAAAGGCGTAGAACGTCCATGAGTCCATGATGGGGAACCTAATTCACGTTAGGAAATACGCTTGGCATAGTACTAACCACACTATCCCTTCTTATGCCAAAGTCATCTGAAACAGATGAACTACTTCATAGGCACGAACGGGGAAAGATGATGATGATGATGAAGTTGGAGTAAGCTCTTTAAAATCCATCTTCGAATCACATTCCTAACTTTTAAGCGTGGGAATAAGCAATAAACTCGTCGGTAGAAGCCATGCTTTCTAAATGATTTATTTAAATCAAGCTGTTTAATTAGCTTTATTTTTAAGCCAGGAGTAAGGTTAGTCTTCTCAAAACTGGACATTGGCTTTCGCAGTCAGTTCAGAGGTTAGGTTAGAGTATATCTCCTCACAGCTACAGAATGGAATAACATGTCGAAGTACTAAGACCAATAGTGCTATAGTCTGTGAACCAGAGAGTAGTAAACCCAGGCTGACCTTGCTTTAGTGCCCAGATATCAGGGCTCTTGGAGAAGATGGTTGCATGTTCCAGCACTGGTTCCTCTTTGACTGCTATGTTGCTCGGACCTGATCAATAGGAAGATGGTTATAAACAGGGAACATGTTTTTTATAATGGGGGGGGGGAATGTCTTATAAAGATGGTTATAAACACGAACAGGGAACATTTTTAATAAAGCGTACAAGGGGAAAAATGTTGTCTAATAAAGATGGTTATAAACACAAACAGGGAACATTTTTTTATAAAGCGTACAAGAGGAAAAATGTTGTCTAATAAAGATGGTTATAAACACAAACAGGGAAATTTTTTTTTTATAAAGCGTACAAGGGGAAAAATGTTGTCTAATAAAGATAGTTATAAACACGAAGAGGGAACATGTTATTTTTTAAAGAGTACATTAAAAAAGGTTGTCTTGTAAATTATTCCCCTTATCTGAGTGAGACGGTCCTGATACATTCCCCTTATCTGAGGCAGGTCCTGATACATTCCCCTTTTCTGAGTGAGACGGTCCTGATACATTCCCCTTATCTGAGGCAGGTCCTGATACATTCCCCTTATCTGAGGCAGACGGTCCTGATACATTCCCCTTTTCTGAGTGAGACGGTCCTGATACATTCCCCTTATCTGAGGTAGACGGTCCTGATACATTCCCCGTATCTGAGGCAGGTCCTGATACATTCCCCTTATCTGAGGCAGGTCCTGATACATTCCCCTTATCTGAGGCAGGTCCTGATACATTCCCCTTTTCTGAGTGAGACGGTCCTGATACATTCCCCTTATCTGAGGTAGACGGTCCTGATACATTCCCCTTATCTGAGGCAGGTCCTGATACATTCCCCTTATCTGAGGCAGGTCCTGATACATTCCCCTTATCTGAGGCAGGTCCTGATACATTCCCCTTATCTGAGACAGACGGTACTGATACATTCCCCTTATCTGAGGTAGACGGTCCTGATACATTCCCCTTATCTGAGGCAGGTCCTGATACATTCCCCTTATCTGAGGTAGACGGTCCTGATACATTCCCCTTATCTGAGGCAGACGGTCCTGATACATTCCCCTTATCTGAGGCAGGTCCTGATACATTCCCCTTATCTGAGGTAGACGGTCCTGATACATTCCCCTTATCTGAGGCAGACGGTCCTGATACATTCCCCTTATCTGAGGCAGGTCCTGATACATTCCCCTTATCTGAGGTAGACGGCCCTGATACATTCCCCTTATCTGAGGCAAGTACTGATACATGCCCTTATCTGAGGCAAGTACTGATACATGCCCTTATCTGAGGCAAGTACTGATACATGCCCTTATCTGAGGCAAGTACTGATACATGCCCTTATCTGAGGCAAGTACTGATACATGCCCTTATCTGAGGCAAGTACTGATACATGCCCTTATCTGAGGCAAGTACTGATACATGCCCTTATCTGAGGCAGACGGTCCTGATACATTCCCCTTATCTGAGGCAGACGGTCCTGATACATTCCCCTTATCTGAGGCAGACTGTCCAGATACATTCCCCGTATCTGAGGCAGGTCCTGATACATTCCCCTTATCTGAGGCAGACGGTACTGATACAGGCCCCTGATCTGAGAGAGACGGCCTTGACATTGGTCCCTTGTTATGAGACACACGGTCCAGCTAATGTGGAGATACCTTGACAACTCACCATGGCAATACCGCAGCAGCAGCAGCGCCGTGAGCAGGAAAGGTATAACCACCATCATTTCCGGTCAGAGAAAGGGCGGCGTCAACTGGACAATAGAGTTAAAGGCATGTTTGGTGAGGTGATCACTCAATCATTCATACACTCATTCGTACACTCATTCATACACTCACTCATACACTTATCCATACACTCACTCATACACTCACCCATACACTTATACACACACTCATACACGCATACACTCACTCATACACTCACTCATACACTCACTCATACACTCACTCATACACTCAATCATACACGCATACTCACTCATACACGCATACACTCACTCATACACTCCCTCATACACGCATACACTCATACACTAACTCATACATGCATACACTCACTCATACACGCACTCATACACTCACTCAGACACTAACTCATACACTCATTCACACACTCATTCACTCACTCATATACGCACTCATACACTAATACACTAACTCATTCACTAATCAATACATTCATACTCTCACTCATACACTCACGCATACACTCACTCATACACTCATGCTAATATGTTAGGTTATATATAAACTCACTCACACTCATAAACTCACTCAATCGTTGTATACTCACTTTCATACTCTCACTCATACACTCCTGCACACATTCAAAAATAAAAAACATGTTCAGTTAGATGTGCACTCAGTCGCTCATATACACCCTTCCACACACACACACACATCAACAAAACACTTTCACTCACGCACACATGAACACAGAGAGTAAAACAAACAAAAATTTTTTTTTAAATAAAAATATTATCGCTGGTCACGACTTTTATATTTTTTTTTAAGGTTGTCGCCATTCAAAAAATATTTGTGAATTTATGTTTTTTAAGTTTCGCGTCTACCAATGCTAGTTGTAATGTTATAACATTTATTATTTCACTGCGCATGTGCAGTATTTACTTATCTATATATATAATTCTCTTCTGGGAGACGCTAGAAAACAAGCTGCAAAAGCGCTCCCTACCACCCCCACCCCTACATGGTCTGGTGAGCTGTGGTTCACGCTAAATGTTTACAAGCAGAGCCGGGTTTAGTGACGACTATTAGGGGCAGATACTTTAGTTTGAAACGATTTTAAACGTAGGGGGGGGGGGGTAACTAAGAGGAATTTGCTTTCACGGGGGGGGGGGGGGGGTAGGGGTTGGGGAAAGGAGGGGGGGGGTTATCGTTCTTAGCGAGCTACTGATAGTGTTTTAAAGAAATATTTTCAGTGGCAGCGTTGGTACTGTCGAATTCACAAATTATGAATTACTGAAAAGTAGAAAAAACAACAACTAAATAGCGGCGTATGATATACCGCGGGCCGGCTCGTATTTTATGTTACTCCCTCGTAACATTCAAGACCTTTCAAGGTGGACCATTTCGTAAATGTCGTCATTACCTAAATCCTTGATGAGCAAGTAGATTTAGCTAATATTAACATACAGGCCTAAGTGTTAAGTTATTGTATCAAACCTCACATATAGCTAACTTGACTTGATGTTATCAAACTTTGTTTTTTATTTCATGCAACTCGATCGTTGAGATTTGTGCAAGTGGCCATTGATGTCGAGATTAGTTTTGAGAAAATAACGGCGCGCACTTTGGCGCACTGAGAACTGCCACCATGGTGCGCAGACAAAAAGATTGTAAAGAACTAATCTAGCGTTGTTTTTATTATTATTTGTTATTATAATTATTATTATTATTATTTGTTTTTTTTTGAAAATACAGCAAAAATGTGCGCTGACCAAAAAGATATTGCAAAGTATAATCTAGCTAAAGTTGGCCTACTTTAATAACATTGTTTTTTTAAATTATTATTTATTATGATTATTTGTTGTTGTTTTTTTTTGAAAATACAGCAAAAACTTTAGGCTTTGAAATTTGTTTTATTAGTTTAAAAAAAAAACGTATTGTGACAAATGGTTCACGTTTGTATTGATGTCTTAGTCTGTGGGATTTACAACAAAAATGTATTTGTTTTAATAACAGCAAACACCACTTTATATGGATAAGGTGTGACATATGAGATGAGGCGGGGGAGGTGAGGTAACTCTGACTCAGCGCGGATTGTCATTTCGATGCCCCGCTTGGATGGTCAGTCTCATGCATATAATGGTCAGACCCATGCCTTAAGCAGTTGCTCAGTCCCATGCCCAGAATGTTCAGACCCATGCCCTGTGCTGTTGCTCAGTCCCATGCCCAGAATGTTCAGACCCATGCCCTGTGCTGTTGCTCAGTCCCATGCCCAGAATGTTCAGACCCATGCCCTGTGCTGTTGCTCAGTCCCATGCACATGTTCAAGGGGCAAATGAAGTAGAGCTCGCCTGTTTATTTGACCTCGACATATGTAGTGATAGTGTGGTCAGCACTATGTCCAGCTGCTGTTACGGTGTAGTTATCAAATCTTAAAATTCATTTTTCTCATGACCATTGCTACTTTCAGACATCTGTCTTCTTTATATGAAACTCTCGGAGAGGGGAGGGGACTTATATTGTGGGCAGATATTGGTTAAAGTTTTCTATATAGCCTACATTCGTTTCTATTTCGTTTGAAGATATGCCCGGAATAAACTCTGCCCATGACATTTACATATCTGAAACAGATAATCATTCAGACGGTCCAATCGTCTCTAAACCGAAGCGTGAATATCTTCCCGAATGGTGCACTATCAAGCCCTATAGATTTTATATTATAGGCCTATAGAGTTAAAATCAAATGCTACATTACAATGCCTATGCTCATTTGAGAACCTTCTTTCGTTCAAGCATAATTTTATTTATATGCTAGATAAATGTTTAAGATTAGATGCTATCTTCTTTGTGGGGAGATTTCTCTAAACTTTCAACCCTATATAGGTATTGAATTAAACGATTAGAATCCATCAATCAATCGAGGAAAATGATATTTTTCATGGATTTATGTTTAAGCTTAGCTGTCGGGCTGTATATTTTTAAAGGCTTTCTTTCTGGAGACTTTTACTCTAACACCGCGTTTACACTAACACATGTATAATTTCGGCCTTCATGTAAGAAAAAATACGAGAATAGCCACCCCCCATCCCACCATACATGTCCTTATAAAATTAACTAATGACATAGTTTTATTCTCTAGACATGTATAGTATACATATGGGACGGCGTGGCCTAGCGGTAGAGCTAGACTGCTAATCCGAGTTGGAATCCGGGTTGAAGTCAGCAGAAAGTCCCTGAGTCCACCCAACTCTGAAGGGTACCCTAACTCACAGTAGGGAAACACAGGCGGCTGGGCATAATGCTGACCACGCTTCCCTTTCATATACCGAGGTCTTTGAAGCAGATAAACTCTTCATCTCCCCCATGATGATGATGATGATACATGTCGCAAAAGTAAACAGTGTAAGATGGATTTAACGTTTCGAAGGTGTAATGAAATACACATAAAAACTACACCGGGCAATTTGCATGACGATGCAGAGTTATTGAGAAGTGAGCAAGTAAAACGAGTACACGGTCACGAATTTTGTAGTTGATCATAGAAAATTCATTGACACGAGTTGATAAAATCCAGGGGCGTAGCGAGGGTGGGGGGTGCGGACCGCACCGGGTGACACCATTTAGGGGGTGACACCAAGGCAAAAAATAGCAAAATATATAGAGAAAAACTCGAGGGGGGTGCAAATCGAAAGTTTGAGGGGGGGGGGGGGTGGTGCAAATCGAAAGTTTGAGGGGGGTGGGGGTGGGGTGCAAATCAAAAGTTTGAGGTGGGGTGCTAATAAAAAATTTGAAAGTTTGTCCCCGGGAAGGGTCGCTACGCCTCTGGGAAGTGACACCATTAAGTGCCGCACCGGGTGACACCCGAGCTCGCTACGCCACTGATAAAATCAATTAATTATAGACAGTGTTTCTTCCAAACTTTTTTCTCCGGCAGACTAAAATTTGTAGGCAATTTGTTGTCACCTACATCATAGATGCATATAACTTTTATGAACTATTAAGCTTAATGGAAAAGCCGAGAATAGGGTATTTTTTTAGAAGTCATAACCAGTGTTTCTTCCAGACTTTTTATCTCCGGGGGAGGGGGGTAGACTTTCTTCAAGGGTGGGGGGTGGGCTCGGCCCCCCCCCCCCCCCCGAAGAGATGCCTGGAAGAAACTGGTCATAACGTTTGAAAATAAATTTTTAAACGTTTTAAAAAATATTTAAGAAATTCTGGTTAATCTAAAACTGTATTGCTCTGACAGTGATATTACCGTCTTTATTTGTTTTCAATTTAAATTCATACATCTATGAGATAACGGTGATTGATTTATTATATTAAGCATATGCATATGTAGATCTGCTTTAAGTATCGACTACTTTCGGCTTCAAATTAACCTTATATGATTATTACAACGTCAACTTCCGGTAATTTAAAGACAAGACGGTCTGCTAGATTGTAGAACGAGAATTCTTCTCTGCAACAAATCACAATGGTTGAATTCGGATCTGGACCCGTAAAGGAGACAATAGACAATACAGTTTTTATTATTCCAGGAATTATAATTATTTTATTAGTCGGTAAGCATAGAAACAGCTCAATTTAGTAAAGCCTCTTTTGTCTGTGAGAAGAGATTGTGTCACTCTGTCACAACAGTCAGTGTCAACGTCAACACTCCCCTACCGGCCGCAATGTGCTACGTCTAGCTAACTAACACGATATGTGTCGCGTCGCTAGCTAACAGATGTTTGCACTGACTCGGTCGAGATTCTAGATCTAGACAAGAATCTAATTCCTGATCTATACCATATACTAGATCTAGCATACTTCTATAACTAGGCATTCCGACTTCCGCTGTTTCGATTCGGTATTCAACATCCGGACTTTTCGATGCAGTCTTTATAAAAACTCGCCCTTTTCCGAAGAATGCCGAATCTCAATGTTGGAATCGAGTTTTTAGAAATATTCGATATAGATATTCTAGTGTAGTCGTATTATATGTTTCAATTAGAAAATTACCGCCATTATGACAATCTTTAAGCCGAAATCGATCGCACGATTCTAATGAGTTTATCTCGCGAACATGTTCCGTACGGTGCTGTCACATTTTAAATAAGTTTACGTATTAAACCCTTTATAAGTGTCTTGCCATTAGTTGTAAGTGTCCATTAAATAAACAAATATTATTATAATAACGGTTTTATGGCACTTACTACTTCTGCTTACGAGTTATCATACATGTCAAATCCCCGAGCTAGCGCTTCGGCCTTGACAACGCCATGGCGTCGGTTTAGCACCGCATTACCTATTATCGATAAAATACGCGCACTAATGCCAATGACGTAGTTTTCGAAGTTGGAAAGAATTTAAATTGTGGGTGGCACTGTTAAAACTAGATAAAATACGTTGATCAAGTTATCTATTAAAACCGACAGGCAAGAAGCTTAGGCTTACATTAAATAGTGTTAAGCATTTCACACATACCTACTTACTTAGATTTAAGGCTAATACTAATAGACTAATAGCCTTTAATATACTATTATACTTTATACTATAAATAAGTTATAGGCCTATTTCTTAGTATAACTAATGCTATATACTATATGTATCGATTGATAAAGTAAGTCTGGGCCTATTATTGGTTATGATAAGTAAAGAAGCTTGGTGATAAACTTATTTAATTATTTGTAATAATTATGCTTATGACATTAGTAAATAATTAACAAAAGGTGCAGCAATTGACATGGGGGGGGGGTACTAATTAATAAGGCAGTGAATTTAGAATGACATGAAAATTGAAAAAGGCATGAAAATTATTATTCATAATAATTTAGGATACAATTTTTACATTTAATAATAAAAAGTAACAAAAAACAAATAACAACAAACAATACGGATTTAAATCACTGCATGTTGCCAATATATATATTCATATAAGCAGATAGACAGGGAAGCTGTAACTTCTGATTTGGTACAAATTAACACTTAGCTTAATAAACTTTTACAAGAATTTAAGGTTTTTCTATTGATTAGTAATTTAGTTGTACCAAAATATCAATAGGGTCTAATAAAGGCCCTAGTATATTAGTTTCCCTTTTGGACCTGTCAATCCATCATCCATAAAGCAGCTGAAGTAGAGTTTATCTGTTTCTTGACCCATGCACATGAAGTGATGGTGTGGTTAGCTCTCTGCCAAGCTATCTTTACTTTCCCTTGGGTCAGGTACTCATCTGAGCTTGGTGGATGCTGCACGCTGCACAGACAGACTCGTCTGAGATCTGAGCTTAAGACTTGCATGTTAGTAGTTGAGTGCTTTAACACACCATCCCTAGTTTTATTTTTCAGCATTCTTCTTATTACATGCTTCAGTATCAATAACCAAAATGTATCCTATCTATTATAGTAACATTCTGGACATACGTCCGTTGCAGTCACTATAATTACTATAAAAGGGTGCAACACCCTTTCATAGGACTTTTTAATTATATGCAGTCATACTTAATATAATTTTTTTCTATATTTCTATTGCCCCCACCCTCTAGCAAAGTTTCAATTTTAATATTAAAAAAAAAAACATAGACTTTCAGTCTGCATATTGACCTATATAGAACAGCAC